ACTGTTGGTCTATCCTTGCTCGTGCAGGGATCATAACGCACAGAACTGACCCTAATCTCTGGGGTCAGGCTAGCGCAATCAGATTTATGAAACAGTTTCTATTTCGCGCATGCGGCATAGTGTTTCTCTGAAGTAAAGAATAACGCAAAGCATTGTTTTCTTGAGAAAAAAAATTATAGAAACGAAAATCAGAACAAATCAAAGAAATTAACGGTAGCTATAGTATATTCCATATCGTCCACCAATTACGAGGACTTTATTTGTAACTTACCCGGAAAACTATCTGAAAGAAGATAGCTAGTATTGATTTGCTTCTTATTAAGATTAAGCTTTTAGTGTAGCATATATTTTGTATTCATATGTTATTTGACCTTATACGTAAATGTAAAAGTGAAAAATTTTAGTAATTTTATGCAATTGTATACATTTTATAGGCCATTGTTTAATTCTTTGTAAGACATGCATAAAGTATTCGCGTATTGCTAAACCTAATTTGAATAAAATGAACCATGTATTTTTTTTTATTGTTTACTGTGTTTTACTATGTAGACATAGGTACTCAAAGTTACATAAATTGCCTAGATAATAACTTTGCATCCTTCAAAATATATATGAAATTCTTGAATATTAACCAGTTGTGCATCTCTTTCATATCTGGATATTTTACTTGAAAAAGACATTAATGATATAATCCAACCAAGCTTTATGATAAATGTGATAACTTTAACTTTGCAATTGTCAACTTCCCTTACTTTTGCAGCAATATATCTTTATCACCTGCATTGTTTATATCTCTCAGTTGAATTGATGCTCTGTGTATGAACAGTTTCTAAAACAAGGTAAGTTATTGAAAAAAAAGTTGATGAAACAAGCATTTCAACGATACAATTTTTCATTAAGTAAAATGCATGCTACCAGAAGTTTTTTTTGACAAGGAGAACACGGCGGATGTGACCGGTCGGCAGGGGATGTTCACTCCTCCTTGACACCTGATCCCACCTCTGATATTTTGGAGGTCTGTGATTGCTCTGCTCCACATCTGTATTGTTTAAAGAACTTTTGAGCTGGAATACTGTTCGTTATCTTCATATATTCATAATTATATTCATAACTACAATTATACTTTGTTGTTAATAATATTCTACAATAATGTTTCAACCGTAGAAATAAAGTTCGTTAACTACAATAATATTATAATACTTAACGAACTTTATTTCTACGGTTGAAATATTATTGTGGAAATACAAATTGCTTGTGGAAAACCACTTCAACGTGTGTATCTTCAATTATTATGAATTCAAAGAAACCCTTTGCTTCGATTTTAAGTCGAATACTTGAATACATAAGTATTGAACGACTTGTATAATATATTTGTACTTAACGGTTAATATAACTTGACCTGAAGGTTCCAATTTCGAATATCTTCTGGTGATTTGTATTTGTTCAAATGACTTGAAAACTTCGGTAAAAAAGAGAAGTTGGACATATATTACAAAATATTCAACTGTTCTCAGTTTGAATTCACATTGAAGTTTTATGGAAATTCAATGTTTTGAGACTAGTTATCTTTTAGTTTTGTTCTTTAATTTTAAAAATATTTAAACACATGCATGTGAATTTTCCGCGTTGTCATAATAGAATGATATTAGAATAACCAATCATGAGTGCTTTAGGACTGAGTAAAAAAAATCTAGAAACTTATCTGCTCTTTAATTATGTCTCTGGTTAATCATACGACAGAATAATCAAATTACAGGGTCCAATGTCTTCTTCGCAATTACAGAAGAATTTAAAAGACACAATGAACATTCACCTAACACGTGCTATTGACCCTAGATAAATACCCCTAGAAAATTGTACTGGAATTATGATTAACAACATTGTCCCAAGATTTGGAAATACGTGGTTTATTCTAAACGGGTAAAATTCTAGAATTTTATTTCTCGCCACATGAGTAATAATATCATGTATGAGAGTTCTTGCTTCGGGTCCTTTTAAATGCAAAATATTCTTTAAAATCAATGGTAAAGTGAAAAAAAAATAATTTATTAATTTCAAAATACGGAGTCTAGAGAAGATGGATGATTTGTTCAAAGCATCACCTTGTACAGTGGGGCACATAAGGAACACTTCAGAATTTTTACTGAATATAGAAAAATTTATTACAAGCTTCTGCAAAAACAATTCAGACAACTACAAATTGTAAACTTTATATGTTCTTCAAGTCAATGACTCTACACTTGTTGACATCACGAACTTTGGTTTAACTAAAAGCTCTCATATATCTAGTTTTTTCCCGTTTTTGAGCGGGGTATAGGTATATTCTTCTCTTATTACAAAGCTGATGTTGTAATCTTTGGACTCATGTATAATGTATATTCACAAAATTTTCCTATTTGAATTTAAAGTGTCAGTATTTTCGAATACAACCCCCCCCCCCTAAAAAAATTAGACAACGCACACACGATTATTATAACCAATATTCCAGAATATTATGCGTCATATCTTAATTCTAAGCTGATTGTAAGTGCAGTTTCTTTACTTATGCCAATTTTTTGTTGTTTACAAATGCACGTTAATCCACAAACATTATACGATTCACATGTTCCACCTTTGCAATGGTTAGTTAACGAGAAAAACACACACTAAGCATTTTTCGTTTTTTCCCTATAAGGTTATATGACACATTTCTCATGCACACGAAATGCAATTGTAAAGGACTTATGATAAAAGTAACAAGTCGCATTTTTACTTCTTGATCAAGAAAGATTTGTACATCGTTTCAGCTAATCTTGTACTTCACATATAATAAAAGCATGTTTTTTCATTTGGATTTTAGGATTGTTATTTTATGGTCCTAAAGATAGCCTAAATTCTAAAGATAATTATTATTGCCAATTGTTTAATTTCTTTTTTTATCCTGTTGTTTAGGCAAATGAAAAAATAACTATAAAACTGGTTAAAAAAAATAAATCGAAAAGAAGGGGTAGAAAAATTCACCCAATATTCATCATGTGAAATTAAAATGAAAGAACTATATGCGGTATATTGCATATGTTTGCCCCCACAAAAGTCAAATTTTGAAAACTTCCTGAAATGTGCTGAATTCAATAAATTGTACGAGTAATATACGTTAACAGAAAATATTATAGTTCCAGAGCAGTGTATTCACAATTTCTGTTTTTATGACGTCACAAACTAGTCCGATTTTATATCCTTTTTCAGAAAAAGGACAAAATGGACAACAATTTAAGCTTTAGAATTTATAGAGCGCATGTGTGTTCAGGAACAATATTGACATATTTCATTGATATTATCATTCTACACATTATATCAAAATATTAATCCTGAACACACATGCGCTCGGTGACTTTTATTTAAAATATCGACGAAATATGTACATTTTTCTGCAAAATTCATAAAAAACTGAAATTTACGTCATATTTGTGACGTCATTACGTACATATGACGTCATTACTTATGAAATTATTCAGTGCTTTGAAGTCAGCATATACTCCCCTGTTTAAGGACTTGATTAAATATTACTCCATCAAAGTTTGATTTTGGGGGGCAAATGTTGGTTAATACCGCATATAGTTCTTTCTGTTTAAAAGCTCAAATTTAGTTTTTTCGTCATTTTATATACAGAATGCAGTATAAAAAAAAATTATTTCGTTCATCAATTTAAAAGTTATACCAACAGATGTTATACGTCGACTCTACTCTCAGTCGATCGGTCACCCCCGTTAATTAATCGCCAAATCGCATGATCCAAAGTCTCAGGAGGTGTGTTTTATTTGAGTTCTATGACCCTCTATTTCTTTGCATTTCCTGACCAGATTTAATTAAAGGCCTTTTATGCCACTCAAAAGTCACTAAGAAAGCATAACTGGCTAGTTAAATGTTTTGAGAGTAGATTTCTGTAGGTTTTTTAATCAGATACCAAATGTTTTATCAAAGAAATCGCATTTTTGTGAAATGACATTTATCTTGTAATTGCATAAAAATTTAAAGAACTGTTGAAAGACTTTTTTAAACTTGCCTCCTCTGTACATACACTATCCATGTGACAGTTCTATGTAAATCGCTTCTCATTTAAATGTGTACCTAAAAAAGACATTATGCAAACATCATTTTAAATTGTTGCTATGTTTTTGCCATTTCATTTTATAACTCTTTCTATATAAACATCTTATTTTGGCACATAGTATCGTTTTCAGATAGGAAAAAAGAAAACTTACCTGAAAAAGTAACTGGGGTGAAAGAAAAAAGGGAAAATAGGCTAAACTCAAATTTCTTTTTCATGGGGTGCATTGGGGGGATAGGGAGTTGGGTGTTTCAACCTCCTTTCATTAGAGATTACCATGATACAACAAAAAGTAAGAGGGGGCAACCAGCCTATCTCAATGAAAATTTTCAAATGTGAATTTGGAAAAAAGAAGGGTGCATGCCCCCAACAGATTCATGTGCCACATGTATACGTGCCTATTACACCATTGATACCCACGTTTTAGTGCAAGTTGTGATTGTATGACCGGGGCTAGTCGTCTTGAAATCGACATCCCATTTTCAGAAAAAAGTAGTTTTTGTTTCTCTCTAAAATACAGATAATATCTTAGAATATTTTTCTTATATTTCTTTTTACAATAAAATGTAAGGTGAAGTTGTAGCGTTATCAAAATTATCATATGCATGGAAGAAAGCAAACTTGTTATTTTGTACTATGATCCTTTTTTCACCAATGCCTCTTGGTATTTCAATTCTTGCTTCTTTTACGAGGCGCACAATCAGGCAGAAATATCCAATTCAGCACCAAGTGAAAAGTGTATTCAAGGGTTGTAAAATTGCTGTCAAAACTCTGGGCTCGATTTAACATTTTAATTCAAACTGTATTCGTTGTTTACAAATATCGAGCCCGTGACTTAGCAGATTTTACCCAGTCGTTGAACCAGAGACTTTCAATAATAAATACTTTTTAAAAAGACCAAATGATGACGTACTTGTGTACAGGGTTTTCATGTTTTTATTTTCTCTTTGAGTGTTTTAAGTTTACAGAAATACAATTCATACAGTACAAAGAAGCCAACTTCACATTTTTACTGATGCTTTCCATCAGATAGCATTCAAGGCATTTAAATTCATTTATTCACAGTGTAATACGGTAATTATGGAACATAAATAACGTACCATGTAGTAATCCAATCAAACGTTTTAATGATTGACAAACACTGATGTAAAAAAGCAAGAAAACCAACGTTTAATTATTTAAATAGGAAAAATAAACCTTTAATAATCTAAAAAAAATGTTTTTTTTTAATAAACTTAATTTAGCTTTCGTTGCGGAGATCTATAAATGTATTCTTGAAGTTAAAAAAGTAAGGAAAGTAAGGGGAAAAAGTTCCCAGAAATCCTCGGCCAGCCGAGATCAGGCAAGACAGAATTAATAAAACAAGACTAGATTTAAGGGACGTTGTTTTCATTAAGGGGAAAATATTTTCCCACCGTCTTTTGGTTAATTAGCTAATATATAATTGATAGACTCAAACATAACTAAAGGAAGGGTTGTAGTGATTTAGTTCTATTTCTCCGCAGTCTTTACGGGTCGTGATTTGTGAATTAGAAGTTGTTATTTACCGAAATAGAGGAATGCATATATATATATATAAGTATTTACATTTTGCTGGTCGCAAAATGCAGAAAGAATTGATAGTTTTCACTAAAACTCAAAGAAATCTAAACTAGATAGAAGCCAAAATTAATTAATTAAAGCAGTAAAGGATTTCAACTGATAAATACTTTCCTTAAATAAAATTGTAAATGCAAGCAGATAAAAATAAATTGGCACGGTGGAATAATACATATACAGAAACTGTATACAGAACAATAATTAAATATTATTAATAAATTACACAAAAATTCACACATATATCATTCAGGAGGAAAATGGGATTTTCTAACCCTGTTAAACAGGGAACATATGGGATGGAAGTATTATATACAAGGATTACTTTTAATATTATGCAGACATTTGAGAAATTAGGAAGGTTTCAATTTGTTTTTCTTTGTTTTAAAAATTGCAGAGATTTGAATGTCAAGAACTGGAATGTAAGAACAACACTTTAAAGGAATGACCAAAGAATTTAGAGTTTGTGAACTCCATTACGTACACGTGTAATACCTTCTTATGGAAATTTACCGTTCTCTAATGTTTAAGTGTTATACTGACGTGCGCTGAATTTTGGAAAACCCTGATCTTAATACTCTCAAGAACAAATGGTCATACAATTGAGCAGATTTTCGTTTGATTTCCAAAGAAAGTTGTTTCCAGAATTCAAAGATTTTATTAGCTAGGATTAAATATAATAAGCTTACTGGGCGATTTATGCATGAAGAAATCTGTCGACTGACAGACTAGGAATATGGACAAAAGATTTAATAGGCAACAATGTGTCCACTAATTAGTTTTGAATGAATCGTTTTAATTACCCCCTGGTAGGTCACAGCATTCACGCTGAGGTTTTATTGTCTTTTAAAAATGGCCACTAATCAACTTTGATTTTAAACTTTGAAAAAATAAATTTGTACTTTAGAGCAGTAAAAATAAATACCAATCTTAAAAATTCTTACAATAACTTGCAAATCTGACAAGAATTAAATTTCTAAAAGAACGTAAGTCGTTCCATATTTTCAACATACTCTTTATCAAAAAATCCCTTGACTGTTATTAGTTTCAATACAAATACTATCTCACAGTTTACTTTTAAAGTTAAAATATTTAGCTTAAATCTAGGTAACACAGTCGGTAAATTTACATTTAAATAGTCCCAGCTTGTAAAAACAGACTTTTGTCGCATAAATGTCAATGTACTTCTATATCCACAGCTATCCAAAGAAATACTAGATACCGAAAATCGAAATCAAAAAACTTGGATAGATGGAGTGACATTTCATCTTTGCACAAGTCAACCATTTCACCAGTTAAACCATTTCAAATGAGAATAGATACTAAAGAAGTATTATGTACGATTCCACAACGGACCAAATGTCTCCCATACAAATATATTGCACAAGCGAAATCTTCATCCATTATACTCTTCAATACAAAGCACCATATAAACCCATGAACCAATCACAGTATCATATCACAGATAATGCTTCTTCAACCCCGGCAACACTCCAGAGCCTTTCGGACTACCGTTCGTGGTTCTAAATGTCACATTTTGAAGCAGACTTCCTGTGTAGGAAGCTGGGACTGTCATCATGAGTCTCCGTTATACACTATGTGTAAAGCAGTGTCTGTCTGAGGGGGTTCTTCCGGATATTCAATTTCAGGTTCAGGAACGTCTTCCGGATCTTCGTTGTCCACTCCGATTAGCCAATTGATGATCATGTGATCTTTATCTGAATCCTCACCCGAGTCGTCTTCAAAGTCATCGTAATTGACATGTTTTTGCGGTATCAGCTGGATGGTTGAACTGTACCGCCTCATACCATTGACAGTACCACTGTTGTATCTGTTTTTGGTTAAATTGTCTGTTTTATCTATAGAAAGTACCTTATTGTTCACAGAATTGTTTGTTCGTGATTTTTGCCGCATAGTCGTTTTTTGTCGGTTCGTTGTGTAGTCGGAAATGGGGGAAATCTTAGGTTCACTTTGACAGTGCGTAAGGCTTTTCTTCTTTAGCTGTGCAGTATTGTTGTTTCCACTAGAAATGGAATTGTCCTTGGAAGATAACCGGGTACGGTATCCGTTTTTGACGGACCTTGGTGTGCTCATTTTCCCTTTTTTATTATCTATGGACTCTAATTTCAAAGTACTCACAGTTGATGAAGTATTGGTCTCTTCCGACGGAACCCACGTCTTTGATCTCTGAATAAATCCGTTGGTCAGCTTTTTGCCATTACTATTGGCGGATTCAGACGATTCCTGACTGAAAGGTGACTTTGTGAAGCGCTGTCTGTGGGAACTGTCACTAGCGTTAGTACTTGGCTTGCTGCTTCTACTCCGAATGTAACGACTGCTGTGGTATGCTGCGAGGGGGGAGTTCCGGGCTCTATCTTGTATTGGCGGCAATTCGGGAGCGCTCATCCTCCTTAAATGAGTGTCACTGTTCTTTTTTTCGTGATAAGAGTTTTCATTGCTAAATTCAATTTCTTTTATTGATCCAATATCGAAAGTCACACTTGTTCTTCGACGGAAATTAAATGTTGTCGTCGGTCTCGAGTTAAATCTCCCTTCCTTGCCGTTAGCCGGTATTTTCAATACTGACTCAAAACGATTATTTCGCGTCATTGGATTGGATTCCGATTTCATCTTACGGGCGCATGCGTGGGTATGTAATAAAGAGTTTATTATGATAATCTATTCAAGGTATCATATCTGCACAGGTAGACCATTTAAATTCATTCCTATTCTATTCAGTAGGTCTGTGTGAGCTATTATACTTTAAATGATCGGCTATTGATAAGAGAGGGCTATGGAGTCCGTCAGACCTTGAACATGCACTGTGACGTGGAATTAGCGTGTGGCCAAGCTCGGTCAAGGACAAAATGTTTTACCGCCAAGGAAGGCGGGTTCTGCTACCGTGTATAGAACCAGTGTTTATCCAATACACAAAGTTTATTGATCCTCCAAACTTCCCGCTGACTTTTAACTGTCTTTGATCCAAATTTCAATATTTTCCGCTCAATTTCCAGACTACAGCCCTCTTTTTCGCTTTAATCAAATGTCAATGACTGCTGAAAACTTCGAATATCTGAAATAGAAATATAATGGAAGTTTCGATAAAAATTATCAGGTTCTAATTTTATGATAAAGGACATTTAGATGCATCAATTAATCTTTTGATATAGCTACCAATTAATATTATCATTGATAATTTAATTTGGTTCTTATCCCCCCCCCCCCCCTTTTTAAGTTTTAACTTCAAATTAAATAAAAAGTTCCATCAATTTATCTAGCAGATGAAAACATTTTTATCAATTACTCTAAATAAAATAAAACTTCATTATTCATTTTGTAAAATTTCAAGCAGACGATGTAGAATGATATAATTATGTAACACGAAAAATATCAGGATGTTTTTTAAAAGAATTCCTTAGTAGGACTTTCATTTCTTGGAACCAGAAACTCGGGGCTTTAGAAGAGACGGGAGGTATTAGTTGAAACTATTTGCTTTGACAGAATCAATTCTGTGTCTTATTTTGTCAAGGTCCCCCACTTGGAGTAGCTGCAGATAGCGGATGCATTTATCTCCTTCCGAATGAGAGTTCCAATTTGATAAGAACATTATCCTCCCCTTTATAATTTTTAACTAAAAGAATAATTTAATGCTTTCCTGCGATTAAAATGAAATTAACACAGCATTTTTTTCTCTGCAAAACCGAGTTTTGCCTATATTGACTCGTACTCATTTAAAACATCTGTACCCACATCTGACCTGTACATCGTACCGGAAATAGTATTTTCCGATACAAACATATACAGGAATTGTAAGCGAATGTTCACAATAACGCTTTAGAATTACTTACTTTTTGGAGCCTTTCCTGAGATTTATTACCTGTAGTTTATACTTTATCTATGTGAGACCACTGGCATGAACTTAAAATGTCTCAGTGAAACCTTTAAGAGCCGCGTCATTGAACCAATATTGACACAGCACTTGTAGATTTATGTATTGGTCTTTATACATATAAAACAAGGTATTCAGACTTATCTCATTCTACAGTCTATTTTTACTTAAGACTGATTTAAGTTGAGTCCCGGTGAAATACGATCCAAATTCTACCAGACTAAGTGTTACTTTCCAACATTCCTATCCTTACGTTAAGGTTTTAATTGCCACCTCAGAGAAAAGTGAAGACAAAGAAAACAATCTTAATAACAAATTTCTACTGAAAAGGAGAATTAAGAGAAATTTTAAAACAAATTATTAAATATTTTCCCATTCTTAATTTATAACAAATACCACGATAAATATTAACCGCTAAGATCTTCGACAAACACTTTCAGTATTTTATTAAAACTGATTGCATTCAATGACAGTATAATTATTAGTAGATATGTTTAATCAAATGAGTTTTCACAACTTTAAAGTCCACTTTACATGTATGTACTTTATAAAAACGCTTTAAATGATATATGTAATTATATTTAGCTGAAGCAAGAGATAAAAAAAATTGCTTAAGAATCAACCGCTATATAGATTTACGCTCGAACATGATCCAGAGTTTCTAAGAAATTCCACCACCTTAATATTTGAATAGTTTTAAAAATCTACACAGTATACCATAAGGTACACAGGTACAAAAGAAACTCAGAACTCTTCGGATTGCCAATAAAGAGAGAAAATTTATACGTATACTCACCCCTCAAGAGACGAAAGGTTTCAAATTTATGGCAATTTTTGCATTTAATCCCAAATACAAAAGCTCAAGGGAAAATATAAAACTTTAAAATGTCCACTTGCTAACCAAACTAATGTTACAAGTACTCAAGCAGATCCTAGTGCAGTTTTACTAATATACAAAGACTTTTGCGATCTGAACTGAAATGACTAAACAGCTTATGGTGGGAAAACTTGAAAGTCACTGGGTTTTATAGCAATCAGTTATCAGTGTGTATTTTATCGTTTTAGCGTGCAAGTGCCTTGATTGATTACCAAAAAAGCTTAGCAAGAGAGAGAGACCGGGTGTATACGGGGTCAAGGTAGAATGTCTGAGATACTGGAAATCAAGACAATTCCACTGCTTTCCCATAAAGAAAACGCGATGAGACTATTTCATTGGAAAAGCACAATAAGGCATGCAATCTTTCTCCTTTCCTTTACCAGATATTATTTTGCAAACTTTCAGAAAATGTAGAACACAATTCGTAACTAATTATTTTTCTTCCCCTCTAATCAATAGTATCTCATTAGATATTGTCTCAGGGCACCCATCGAGACGAGGTGTTGATTGTAGATGCAACAAGATGGAGAGAAAAAAAGAAAATTAATTTCGATGAGAAAATGAAGTTTCTTTTCTCATTAAGTAGATATATATTCATACATTATTAACATCTGGGTAAAGACCTAATTACAATGTAACTCTTCTGTTCAAAATCTAATACATGTAGATTCCGGGAATGAAAATTTCTGTTTTTAGTTTTTCTTTTATATAGATATTTTTTTTCTTCTCAGATCTTTGTTTTAAACCAACAATGCTTTATTTCATGTTCCTTGAAAACTTACACGTTACTGTGCAAAGGAAGTATTTTTTTATGATACGCCGATGAAATTAAAGTGACCTGTAACTTTATCTTACTGGGTAACAGGATGTTCAGCCGGAAGTGACAACAGACAGAACGCGGACCAAGTTCAATTAAAGATAATCATTGGTAGCTCCATCCTGTATAGAATCGTTATTAAAGCCCTGCTATCATTATTTAACCTTATCTGTGTATGCTTTCTCACATAAAAAAGACTAATATCCATTGAGGATCTGTGCAAGAATCGTCGTAAAATAATCACTATCATATTCAGTTTTGATTATTGTAATGGAGACTTGGGTTTTCGATAATAAATCCTTATTTAAAAAAAATTATTGCCATCGGCGACTTTTTCTGTCCGTTGTCTTTTGAATGGGTAAGCGTCCTCAAGTGACTTAGCTAGAATCGGACTAATTGGAAACGGGGATAGGCATGGTCCAAGTTGAAGTTCAAGTTCTTTATTTCTTTGCGTCATACGACACATCAGATTACATGTAACAATAAATAAACATGTGTACAATAATATATAACAATATGAGAGTGAGCATAATAAATAAATAGCAATTAAACATGTAGGATGTGTTTTAACCGGCATATGTAATTACATTTATGAAACACTAAAAAAAAATACAATTAATTCTTTCTTCTAACGGAAGCTTGATATAAATATTTATTTTCCAAGATTACAAAGTTCCTTAATATTTTGTATGGTGCATCATATTGGATTCTTGTATTTACATTATTCGTGTAGTTTCTGATTTTAGGCTCATTCCCTGATAAAAGCCCCTTTTTGTTATTTTTTTTTATATTTATCTTCTGCTTTTCCATTACCTAATTATTTAATATTTTGTTGGAAATTCAACTGTAGAAATTGAATTATATATATACGGAAACGTAAGGGCTAACGAATGTTTTGTTTTCAAATCATTCATTACATTTAAAAATTCTTTTATAATTAATATATATATTGTACATTGACTTATTTCATAAAGATTCATGTTGCTTATGAAGATGGCAGTATAATTAAGCTGTATGATTGCAATATCATAAAAAAAAATCATCATCTTTAAAAACATGAGAAATAATCAAGGATTATACAGTTTTTTCACTGATCCTCATAATTTTTTTCGAAGATCAATAATTTTTTTCGGAGAGCTACAGATCTGCAGCTAATAAATAATAATAAAAAAAAAATCATCATCTGAGTTAACATATACTATATATATAATATATTTCTTACATTTCCGATGTCTTTGTCCGAGATGAAATTACAAAAATAGAGTAAAAATACTTTATTTCTATAATAAATAAATCTACTGGTTCATCGATTAAAATCACGTGCACAAAAAGAGACAAAAGCGGGGCTTGTAGCACGTGATTTGCGGAATCAAGGGCATGTAAATGTAAGGAATAAATGTCAGATTTTTTTACTTTATGACGATCATCAATCGATGCATGAAAATAAAAAAAAACACCAAAATGTTAATATCACGCAATCAACTCGATTGATCACATCATGAAACAAAAAAGAACAATTATTCCTTTAAAATTACAATTTATATTATAGGATATTTATCAAGTAATGGTGCTAGTATGGAGTTACGTGGATATAACGGCATATTTACCAACCACTATAGTATGCTTTGCTAGTTAGGTGATATATATATAATTCACCGGCATATGTATCATATACTTTGGTATCCATCCTCGTACATACCTATCAACATTGTACATATGTATATATAATATAATTATTTAAATAATATTGATTAATTTATTCACCTTATCTTGCTTATCATATTTATTCTGATTGTGAAATAATTATGCATAATTATTCAAAGTCATTCAAGTATAAAGTGGGTGTTGATTTCCTTATATCATTAATTCTTTTTCTATTGGTAAACCACGGCTTAGTCTGAACTTATTCTGCAATATGTTGACATTACACATAGAATTCTTTTTTCTTTTGTCTTGCGGCACATTCAGTCTGAATACAGAAAATTAAGAAATATACAGTTGTATAACCGCAGTTCTATAATCAAATATATGCACGTGTTGGAAAGTGAAGAAATTCTCAAAAACAATGCGCAAAAAATCTTGCGCCGTAAAACGGACATTTTTTTTTCATTGCAGGATCTGTAGCGTTATAGTCAAAGACTAAATTAGATAACGCTACAGTTCTGCAGGTAGATATATACGTGTAAATAAATGTTTTTTGTTTCCCGATTAGCCAATATTTAAGTCTAAACCGATGGGGAAAAACTCTCAACGAAACTATTACATGAAACAAAACAAAAACAAAGAAACAGTGTTAAAGGCAGAGATTTTTTACCGGGTGGTAAATTCCAGGTGAGGGAGGGGCTTATTTTGTACACAGGTGTGAATGCCTTAGGGGCTAGCAGTCTACCTGTGGCCATCTGTCTCCTAATCCCTATACACAGGAAGTGATTTAATACACAGTGAAATACCCAGATATCAAACTTTACCTGTGTTGGGGATTTTGAGACAATTTTAAAATTAGTAGTAAAAAGTTTTTTCAATATTACTTTGATTTATTTTTTACTCTTTGAAAATACCCCTACCCATTTAAAAAAATTATTATTCTATCATACTATAAAATAAAGATTGCTTTAGATGTTAGTGTATGTGTTGATTTAAAAAAAAACTTCTGTCACAACCAGATACGACTTTTAAAATTCATTCCTCCCCAGGATCCCAGCTATTAATAAAATGAAAAAATAAGAGTTGAGTTAACTACATTTCACTAAGAAAAAATATCTAGGTTTATCCTAACCTCGGTAAGATTTTGTCACAAAAGTAAGAAATTTCACAGAATGGAGGACAGTGATAATAAAAAAAGGTTGATAGATGGAATGCTGTAGTTTGCATTTCATTAAAAATTATTTCACTCATATGAAAGTAAAATTTAATGAAGTAACAAAGGAAGAAAAACTTCACCAACATCCCAATGTGCACAAAATGTGAGAAAAACGAAGTAAAACAACACTTTCCGTTTATATTTTAATTATAAAGTCATGTTGTTTAACATAACAATACCCGAGATGGATATATGGACATTTACATAAAGCTAAGTGAAGGAACACTAACAAAACTAAAAAAAAACTACATATGTATATAGTGACAGTTTTTAGATACAAGACAACGTAATATTTAGCCATAAACCACTAATGTTCACGTGAGTTGTTTACTATAGGCATAGAGTTTAAACTACTGAGTATTTACCTTAATATTGTTTGAACTCTTACATAATTTTTTACTTCTTGCAGAAATAATTATGTATGATTTCACAAAGCCATTATTTTAAATCGGTGGTGACCATATACGAATACACAACTATAGAACAAAGAAAAAAAACCAAACAATGCTCTAAGATACTATTTCTTTAAGCAATTTATTCAATGCTCTAGATACTACTTCTTTATGTAATTTATTTGAGTGATTATGAAAAATGTTCATACAGAAGAAAGGGGCTTAAATGTAATTTTTTGAAACGAGTCTTCGTTGCAAGATACGAAACTTTTTAACATCTCTAAATAATGTGCTGAAGAAGCCAAAGAAGGAAAAAAAAAAAGAACTACATGAACTACATGTACTTTGAATTATTAATATTATTAATAATAATTAATAATTATTATTATTAATGCTTTTTTGAAAGCAAAGTCTAAAGTCTTGTGTTAAAGTTTAATCAAATTTAAAACATTTCTTAAAAATTTGTGATGATCTTTGTATATCAAAATTCACTCGTTTAAACTCATTTTAATATCTAGAATTAAAGCATATTAAAGACAAATGAGATGAAAATTAACATTTTTAACAAATTTGATAAATTAAATGGTATAAAGAAAAAATGTGACGTTAACCGACAGACAATCATTATATAGAGAGAATTTTTTTTAAAACAAACATAAAGAAATGCATTAAACATCTTCTTTAGTGTTCTTTTATTTCAAATAATAAATGTAGAAAAAAAATATGTAGGGGTTTAAATTTCTTAATTTCTTTCTAAAATAAATTTGTACATTCATTGAAAAGGAGGCCACGGTTAAAGATTCATGATCAATCATATTCCTAGTAATAAACCGAAGAGTTGAACAACCGATGATCAGCTGACAGAGTTTTTAGTTCCTGATACATGCAAATAGATTACACGATACAATACAGTTAATTTGATTTTAAATCTTAATTTATATGCACATTTTATTACTTAGAGCATTTACCCTTTTTTTTAAATTTGCACACACGTATGAAGATGTCTTAACTTGCAAGCAGCTAAAAAGTTTTCATCAAAGCACTTAGAACTCCCCCGCGGTGAGGTAATGTCCCGATTGATTTAAAACCAGAAATATTTAATAAAACTGTCTAATCTTAAAAAAACATAACAATTTTCTGCTCAGCTAGACGCGACTGATATGGAAGGAACTGAATGATACATAACACTGGGTCGAGCTATCAAGACGCAAAAAACTAATGGTCCATAGCAATACATAAGGGAAAAAAATAAGGAATATGAACCTTTAATAATTCTAAAATATTTAAAACTTGGCAATTTCAATTCAGACTCAAGATCTATTAATTCCTAATATAGCAACACAAATGATTTAAACGAACTTCACAATTCAATATAGAGTCACCCGCGTAGCGCAGTGGTTAGGGCATTTGCGTAGCGCAGGACATGGTTAGAGTATTTGCGTAGCGCAGTGGTTAGAACATTTGCGTAGCGCAGGACAGGGTTAGAGTATTTGCGTAGCGCAGTGGTTAGAGCAGTTGCGTAGCGCAGGACATGGTTAGAGTATTTGCGTAGCGCAATGGTTAGAGTATTTGCGTAGCGCTGAGGTTAGAGCATTTGCTTAATAGTGGCGGAGTTCCAATCAAAATGCGGGGCACGGAGACCGTTCATTCGGATGAGACCGTATTAACAAAGGTCCGAGTCGCAGTAGGTACTAGCATGAAAAAAAATCCCTCGTTGATCAAAGGCCCTGAGTGCTGAATAAGATCTAAATTTGGAGCCCTCCATCGAAAAGTGAATGTTGGTGTCTAATAGGAGTGAAAATGCTCGAAAGGACGTTAAAAACAAACAACTGAATCAAGTCACAATTTTACGAAAGCCTATATTCGCAAGAGAAGATCTAGTGTTTATAGAGCCTTTTTGCTCTAGAGTCGCGATGTAAGGAGCTGATCCCTATACTTCACAGTATTTGAATCCAACAGTGTGACATAGAGACCCGTCCTGCAAATGAGATTGTTTATACCGAGGTTTCGCATCGCAACAATTGCAACTTCTCAGACCTTTACAAAAAGTGGAGAAACTTTCCGAGATTGTCGGAAAGGCCCTAGAAGATGCGCTTGGTATTGCAATAGGCAATAGCGATCACTTACTGCTCAATGGCCCTCAGTGTCAAGTATAAATGTAAATCTAAAATTCGCAGCCCTCCACTGTCAAGGGTTAGTGCTTCCAGATGAGTGAAATATTCTCGAAAGGGACGTTTATCGAACTAACAAATAAATAAATAAAAACAGTGTAAACGAAAGACCAGATGGCTCTTTGTGTTTTGAATTTTGAATTCTGAATGAGTCTGCTGAACCTTCATTTAAAACACGAATTCCTCTTTTCGTATTCACGCATTGATTATTTTCAATTGCGAATATATAATGATGGATAATACTTCTTCCTAATATTCCTAACTATTTAAGAAAAATTCTATTATTTAAAATTCTTATTTAAAATTTAAAAAAAGTATTTGTGTGTTTTACAGCGCTAGACACTTGCAAAGCAGCATGAAACAAATTCAATTTCATTGTGGAATATCTTGTTCTAACAACTTCTAGTCACCTCCCGCTACATACTTTTTACATGTTAGAATATATTTAGATAACATTTTTATTTGTTATTCCACTGCCCTCTTCATTGCAAATATGACACAATGAAATACTAGTACACAGAATGGCATTTTACATGGTACATCTAAGATGTCGAAGAGTACAATCATGATTGCACGACCAAATTGTATATTTTTTCGCGATACATCAACATCTCTTATAAAAATGATTTAACAGTTTCTCTACCGAAAATTTATAAAAATATTTTTTAAACAACCTTTTGTAATAATTATCACTTTTATATTCTAAAGACACTTATTCATAAAGTTTCTCCGAGTCTATTTGCAAAGCATCCTTGCGGACAAACTAATCAACATTCTTTCGAAATTCTGGTTTTAAATGGTTCTTTATGATAAAGCTTTTCCTAATATAACAGCACGCATAACATATAAATATAATATGCATCAGAATCAGGATTGCATAATTTTCTCTCAAACTTACCAAAATATTATCCACTGCAATAAGACAAAAGCCTCTCTGTAATCACCACACATCAGACATCAGTCGACGGACCGGCAGACAGATCAGAGTTCCATCCTGGTCTCTATCTCAATTACGTAACGAGATCGGTTTTTAATGCAGGTAAAACACAATTTATTGATTTTAAATGGTGAAGAGAGAAATGATATCAGCATATCACAAAGTGCATTAGCATACTGCTGAAGTTTAAACATGTAATAAAGAGATTTCTCCCTGCCCTGAGAACTGATAACCCGGCTTAGTTGATCGCGCTTAAAATGCGTGCATACCTGTATACCTAGAACGATCAGAATTCCCAATACGTGCATTTTCGATGAGATTGTATGTACATAATTTTAGAGCAGCATAATTGAAACAGGCTTTATCTTAAGATATTGCCTTCGTCTGCGCCAAAAATAACCTTCATTACAAGAAATATTCGTTTTCGGTATACATATATCAGATTCTATTTTAGTATACTATGTTGGGATTAGATAAAACCTAACCTTCGAATCTCCAAATATAGTACTAAAGTTATCAAAACTCACAAATTAGACTCTGGAGATGAAGCATAGAGCTTTGGCGTGTTCATATGTGCTCGTCACAACAAAAACTTAACGAGTTTTCAAATTTTCGGGGAGTGCGTTGAAATTGTGAATAAAATTTATTGATGCTGGCATTTATAACAGATAAGAAATTTGTGAAAATTGATGAAATATGAACAGAATGTGATTAATGATTAAGATCGGGAAAATTAGCTAAATTTGCTCCACATCTACCACAAAGAGAAATGCATGGTAGTCAAACCCTTTGACATAAAGAAATTAACGATTCGTCTGTTTCCACCGCGGGACGCAGTTGTTAGACCCAAGGTCCTACATATAGTTGAGAGTACATTTTCAAACTTCCGCCAGAGTTCGTTTGTACCAAACCAAATATGTGCGGAGACGCTATAGGACTATGGGTAGTATGAGTACATTTTATCCTCCTGCTAGAGTGTCTGCTCTCGAGTCACAAACGAAAGTAAGGAGTTGGTCCTTACGTCGCGGGTTCGAATCCCACTGTTGGACGTGGAGAACCGTCCTTCGGATGAGACCGTAACGGTATAAACCGAGGTCCCTTGTCGCAGTAGGTGCTGGCACGAAAAAGATCCTTCACTGCTCAATGACCGTAAGTGCCAAGTATAGCACAAAATTTGCAGCTCTCCATCGGCAAGTTGTGGTGTCTCCATATGTCAGAGTAGAAATTCTCGAGAGGGACATTAAACAGCATACAATCAATCAATCATACTCTTGAAAATTCGATTAATTACGTCTTTTTGTATGCCTTTTATTAATTAATATTTTAGAGAAAATTTGCCTTTTTGGGGTTTACTGGCTTTACAAAGACATATTATCGTTGATGTGTCCTCATATGGATTTCCTTAACAAATCTTAAATTATTTATCCTTAAAAATGGAAATATTCACACTGGTGAATGTATTTTAAGTAAAAACATCATTAACTGTGGTAGAGCGTTCGCTTCGTGATCGGGAGGCCCGGGTTCGATTCTCGTTCGCGGTGCCGCGTCATACCTAAGACGTAAACATAGGTAGTGACTGTTCCTTCGCCAAGCGCTCGGCACTAGAAGTGAAAGTCACGGGTCTTTCGGATATGACCTTAAAAACGTAGGTCCCGTGTCACGGTAGGCGCTGGCACGATAAAGAACCCTCACTGCTCAATGGCCCTGAGTGCCGAGTATAAGTCTAAATTTGAAGCCCTTCACCGGCAAACGGTGACGTCTCCATATGAGTGAAAAATTCTTGAGAGGGACGTTAAACAATATACAATCAATCAATCAATCATTAACTTAATTTTTTTAAGTGTGAGTATTCAAGAAAAATTGAGAGGGAAAAATGCAGAATAGCAAACTTTTGGGGCGTACCAAGTTTCTGAAGAGAAAAGTCATTGAGGGGTTAGTATGTAATAGTGAAAAGCAAATATATCCAATGGGTCTCAAGTGCAGCGATCTCTAACGACATGCATTGAATATTTAACAGTCCTGAAAGTACATCTGCAAAGTCTAATTGTTCTACTTGACGTCATGTTTGACAAGAACACCTTCTAGCTTATATAGTTAAATCGAATGAGCAATTAATGAAGGTTCAAAAAATGTGTTTACCTAAACGATGGCAAACAGTTTTCCGTTTCTTGTCCCTCATCTAAGTGTAAACGTTTTAAACATTGTCATTAAAGGTAAAACTAGGGGATGTTTTAGAGCATAAACACAATATCTGGTGGAATAAGAGTGCATGGATGAAAAGGAACTCGTCTCTCAACAAAAGTACATTTTCTAAAGGTGTTTTTCTATTTTGTCAATAAGCACCACTCTTGAATAGGGTGGTCAATGGAAAAAGGCTTCAATATATGCGATAGTCAATAGACTAATGCTTTAAAATGATAGACGGTTATTTCATCAAGTCCGCACGGAGTACCCATTGACACGGAAAACGACAGCAAAGTATCTAAGCCATGAAAATGACCCCAATCAAATATACGATGTAAAATTTGCAAATTTATCATTGTGAAACTTAATAAATAACAAAAAGAGTTAAGAGTTCAATTTTTCTTGGTCATGGACATTATAAAAAGAAGGAAGTACATAATTTACTTTTAGTGAGTAAATATGCTGAGTTCAAAGAATTCAAAACAAGTCCGAAATTGGGATGGATGAAAATTTAATTCTGCGCGTCGATCATTCAGGCCTGACGTACGTTCAAGGTGGGGGTGGTTGGGAGGGGGAAGGAGGCTGGCCTGTCACCAACCTTTTTGAGAATTGTCTTTTGCAGCACAGAGTGAATTTTTGATACTGGTACATATAATTAGCTATATTTGATTTAAATGCTGTTTTCCCCCCTGTTGCTGAACAGCTTAACATACGCAAATTCACTCAATATACTGAACAGTAGGAGAAAGCCCTTCAATCTCACCCCATCACCCCCAACTAGTTTGGAAGCCTGGATTTTTTCTAGCTTGTTCACTTTTAACAATGTAGGTTTTTCCCTACAGTGAAGATCGTTGATACAAGAACATTGTTATTAGATACATTAGATACATGTATAGTATTGAAATGCAAATCAAATGAAATAATTGACGTATATTCAGTTGTTCGAACTCCAAGGATTAAACTTAAAGAAAGTAACATAATCCTAATTTTTTTTTTAGATTTATTTACTGGGAATGTTGAAAATATTCTCCAGTGTTCTGAAGTAAAAAGGTAGAAAAATGGATTTGATAAGAATCACATATGAAGGAATAAGATACTTTTATTTGTCTCAGAAATAGGCTAACAGAGTTTTTGTGAATTCTATTACATGTATATGTTTATACGAACTGAACATTTACATTAAACGATGTTTAATGTATAAATCTACAAAAATTAAGTATTGAATGGCTGGAATAATGTCATACAACTATCAGAATAGGGACATAAAAAGTCATATACAGTGGTTGAACCTCGCGACTTTGTGTGAAATCTTCCAACAAAATTAATATGTTTACCTTTCTCAAAGATGTTAAATAACAATACAATTGTTAAATTTGTGTGAATGGAATTTAGATTTTGTGAGACATGGGTTCCGATTTTCCGTTCTATAATAATTGGTTATAACAGAATATTATCACTAAGTAAAAAAACACAATGAACATTAATATATGAAGAGGTCATTCGGGGCTTTTATAGAAAACCTGCCAATACTTGTCCATCAAGAACAAACTTTGCCTATTTGTACTCGCATTTACTTAATAGTCAAAATCATTATATACGGGAAAGTTCCAAAGCTTATATTTGTTTAATTAACATGTACATAAAGAATACACAATTCCCATAACTAAGTATGAGCTCGCTCTTCCTCTATAGAACCTTTTCATTGATTCCTGTCTCATTTTATTTCAACACACAAAGACAACAAACTGTATACATACATTGACAAAAGCAAGCATGCCTATGAAAGACATTTCCTTAGAGATTAGAACAAAGCTCTGCAATGAATTATGAATGCTGACGTATGGCACTGAAACTATAATTTCTTCTTTACTAACAGTTCAAGACAATTAACATCATTCCGAAGTGGGAAGAAAGTGAATTTTCCATTTTGTCTGCTCTAAATCTACGTGACAAAGAAACCAGGATGTTTACGAAGATTTAAAACCGTTCCTGTCTCCTGTTCTCCAATAAAAATCATCCTCGATTTTTAAATATTTTGCCAACTGGGTACAAAGTCGCCGACCTTGTTTTGAATTTTAATTTAACTGAAAAATGTAAATGATTCGGAGATTAAGGGAAATTTGAAGAATCCTGGTAACCCGGATAAAAATTATCTTTATGACCGAACGAAATTAGTGAAAACAGGATTCGGGGATGAATAAATTGACCAGTAATTTGGCATCTGTCTGTTCAAGCCCTGGGCTACAATAGGAATCTTTTTATTCAGCTAAATGTATTTTATGCTGATGTTAGATATATTGCTCGATGGGTTTAAAGAACCATTGTTAGAAACTGTTTGATCTTTATTTTCAAAAAGGCAACAATTTTTTTTTTCGATCGTAAAATTTTCATTTCGATCAGAAGACATCAATATTTGGAGAAATCCTATAATTTTAAGTGTTATTACTGTCCCTTTTGTATTCCATGGAATATTTTAAAATCAATTCCTAAAGTGTTTTCTTCAAAGTCATTTGCCAAGGTCTGAAATTGGGTCTCTCCTTGTTAATGCTAAAGGTTAACGTTTGCAATTCATTTTCATAAAATAAAGGTCGCAATGTTCTGTTTAGATTTATTAAATTGATCTTAGCAAACTGTTTGTCATCTGAAAGGTCATCATTGAGTTTTGAAATGATATCCTGATATCTTAGCATGAAAATCTTAATTACTTGTCTTTAAAAGTCATTTTTATGGTTTTTCTGTACAACATATTTAATGTACATCCTCATATTGTAAGTAACATTGTAATTAAATTTTGAAATATATCTAGAAAGTTGTTGACGTGTTTTTATAAGCACTTGAGGAAAGAAAATTTATAAAATCGTTAAATGGACATACATGTACAA